GGTTTGTAGTAAGTCAGCTTCATTGACCGCGCAAAGTTGAAAGGTATGCTATCTTTATATGGCCGATCGAAAGGGGTATTGATGAGGGCTTCAAAAGAGATTGAAGAATTAAAATATTTTATTGCAACACAAGTTTGGTGTGTTTATTTTGGGGTTGTGTTTTCGTTTTGAATTTGTGTAATAGTAATTTGAAATGATATTTTGTGCGAAAATTAAAATATTTTTATTAGAAACTATGATGTCAGCAAATTTATATTGAGAATTATAAAATTTATCCAATTTTTTTCCTCAAAAATATCAAATAAAAAACGTACTTTTTATTTTTTATATTATACTAAAAATCAATTTTACATTCAAAATATCACATAACATCTATTTATATCACATCATATAACTATTCAAATTCAAAATTTTTACTATTCAAATCTCAACTCAAAATCCAAACCCTCAAACAAACACACCCTAAGGTCTATATATATATATATATATATATTAGAGAGAAGGATAAATTGTTTGGAATGTTTTGATGACTTTTATATCTAAGAATACATGAATAATTAGAAGCAATTTTAAAGTATAAAAATAACATAAGACACCAAAAGAATTCATACGTGTAGATACATATATATGTAGAAGCCTTGAAAAACCTAACCCACAAATATAGGGTTTGTTTAGATATGTTAGAGTGTGTTTTTGAGAGTTTTATGAATAATAAATATAATAAATAGAAAATATGTATTTAATTTATGTAACATGAATTGGTATGCAATGTCATATTTTGAATGAAAAATATGTATTGATTGAAATTTTTTTAATGAAAAAGTAACTATTGTAGATAAATTGTCCGATGACAAGTTTGAAACATAAGTAAATAAATCCATAATATTCAAGAAACAGTATTATATGATTACACTGATGATTATAAGACTTGTCTTTACTTTAAACAAGACTGATACTAGGTATAATTTATATCCCAAAGTTAGAAGTAGCGTATAAATAAAAATAAGAGTCAAATAAATTTTCAATAAACTTTGAAACTCGAGGTTCTATTATTATTTTTTAGAATATAAAATTGAAATTCTCTATTTCAATCGTAAGAATACGTATATATTTATAGTATATACAAATCGTTTAGATAAGGTAAGAACCTTACGAATGTCTTAAATTAGATAACTACCATAAATATTATATATTGCTTCTATATATATTTTAACACCCCTCCTCAAACTCAAGATATGATCGAACAAACTTGAGTTTGTCAGAAGTGACCGAAAAAGATATAGCTGAAATCTTCCACGTATGAATTTTCAATTCACCAAGATTGACTGAAAGTGGTGTAGCCGTCCACTGGATCAAAGTTAGAAGTAGAATTCTTAACACCGTTACAATTGGAAACAGGACTCGCTCGCTTTATAGAGCTAGAATCGGAAACAGGACTTGCTCGCTCACAACATAGTTAGAGTCGGAAATATGACTCGCTCGTTCATAACAGAGCTATAGTCGGAAACATGACTCGCTCGTTCACAACAGAGCTAGAGTCGAAAACAGAACTCTCGACGGCATTAAAGTTGAAAGTAAAACTCTGTCAATGAAAATCGAAGTAATAGAGACGGAGACGGCATAAAAATGATAGTATGATCGTGGATAAAAGCAAATACATCAATAAAATATAAATATATATACGGAATATAACGGGTCATAAAGATACCTGAAGAGAATTTGGCTCTGATACCATGCTAGAATATGAAATTGAAATTCTCTATTTCAATTATAAGAATACGTACATATTTATAGTGATATACAAATCGTCTAAATAACGCAAGAATCCTATGAATCTCTTAAATTAGACAACTATCATAAATATAATATATTACTTCTAAATATATTTTAATATTATTATATAATTTTTTTGTATATTTTCCATTTTAGTTGTACTCTTTGATGATTATATACATTTATGTATATATTATAATTGGACAATTACTATACAAATTTCCTTGTATTTTGGGTTTTGTGTGTGTGTGAGACAGAGAGCATATGTTTTAGCTTGGTTATAGGATATAGGCAAAATTACTTATAATTTACGTGTATTTAAAAATTCATTATTTTTTTCATGTGATATAAAAATTGTATAAGATTTTTATTGTATTTTAGGAAGCATTGAACATAATTTTTTTAAAAAAAATTTAGGTGAAATTCTTTTTGTGTTTTTAAAAATATTACATAAAAACCACTAAAAGAATATTCTATGCAATATTTTTTAAAATACGAAAAAAATTTATGTAATTTTTTAAATCATTATAGATAATGATACAAATTTTTCAAATCATATATGGATTATAAGCAATTTCGCATCTATATATATTGGTTTTTTTTTTTTTAAAAAAAATATATTTAATACATATTTTTGTTGAGAATATTATCTTCAAAATTTAATTTTCATTGAAAAAAAAAAAAAAATTCAAATCCAAAACACCAGAAACTCAAAAAACAAACACAACTTACAATACAGCCCTCTATTTAAAAATATACAAACTCCATTTACTTTGCTATTTATTTTTTTTGGATTTATTATATCCATTTGTCAATATTTCTTTGAAAAAGACATTATTATTTTCTTTAATAAAATATCACATTCAACTCACTATTTGAACAAAAATAAAAATTAAATACAAAAAAAAAATAAATAAATAAATTGACCAAGTGAACATATATATATGAAAATTTTCACATATTAATGATATTTTATAATTAATAAAATACTAGAGATTAATAAGCAAAGACTAATATTTTTCTTATAATATTTTCCAAATGATAAATTCTTGTTACATGTGAAACAAATTTATTTATCTAAACTAACAAATATTAGTGACCATAATTATTGATTAAATACATAATTAGGGTCGTCTATATAGGTACGGTGTATTTATATGCGGGGTTTTGGTTTTGAATAATAAAATTATGAATTGAAATAATTATTTGATTTGATATTTTGAATGTAAATATTAAATTTTAATGTAATATAATAATAAAAAATAAGTGTTTAGTTTGGTTTGGTTTTTAATTTTATATTTTTTGAGGAAAAAGTTTTAGAATAGTAAAAATAAAAGCAAAATGCAAAATCCCACAAGTAAATATTTTTTTTCCCTCTCTCATTTTATTTTTATTGAGTAATTAATATTATTTAATTACAAAAAAGACTATTTATTAAATTACTAGAAATTTAATGTTTATTCTGTGCATGGAATAATAATAAAAATTTCAATCAAGTTTCTCATACATTTAATTTGATATATATATATATATAATATTATGAAAATATGTCAGTAGGATGACACAAATATTTAATTTTCTGGATCATCATTTAATTTGCATTTAATAAATCATTCAAATTCCAACGTCGTCCTCTTCTTCTACCATTCACCATCCAAAATTTTTGCGTTTGTTAATTTTCTCTTTTTTTTTATTATTATTATTATTATTTTACTAATATATTAAAATCGTGCAATTTTTTTAATATATATAATTTTTTAAAACTATTTTCTCGTTGAAAATAAATTTATAAATTGCATGTAATTAAGAAGAATAAAAAGATATGCAAAAAAAGGTTAATTGGTTAAAATTAATTAGCAAACTATCCTAATAAATTCCTATAAATTAAATCAGCATATGCTACATAAATTCATATATTCATATATATATATATATATATATATGTATAACACGTTGTGCTAAGATGAATTAAATGTATTGTAATGTCCTAGTATTATATTTATTTTTGGTGCAAAATTTATAAATTAATAATATTTTAATTGTAATGTGTAGTTAAAAGTTGTGTAAAAATAATTCTGTTTTTATCTTTTTGATGTAAATGTAATAATGCGATGATAAAGTATGAATATTTACAGAAAAAATTGAGGTCTATGTTACTAAAAAAAAAAAGGAATTATTACTATATAATTGAATGATCCAAAATAGAAATATGTATGTTTTTTTTTTTTTTTGATAGAAGTTTTAAAATAATATTATTTTATTAATTAATAAAAGTGTGTAAAATAATTTTGATATTTTTATTGCCATTACAAATACAAGGAAAATGATTACTTTGTAAAATAAAGAGGTATTTTAGTATTTTTATATAAATTATTTTTAAAATAATATGAAAATATTAATAATAGTTTTAAGTGATCACTACTAGAACTATTTATTATTATTATTATTATTTTAATGATGTGAGAACTATTTATTTTGATATTTCTTTATATTTAGTGTTTATATATGTATGCTATGAAAATCAATACCCAAAAACATATGTATCAATAAATGTGATGTCAATAAATATTATTAATCAAATATTCCCTCCGTCCACAAATTAATGTTCTACTTTCCTATTTGAAAAGTCCAAAAATGATTGTTCTCTTTCTATTTTTATACATGGAATTTACCTTTTTACCCTTACTATATTTATCTTTTTTATATTTATACATAAAATAAAGGGCTATTTTGTCAATTTACAAAAAAAAACTAATTACCTAAAAATGTGTGTAAATATCACTCAGGACATTAGAAAATGGACGGAGGGAGTAGTAATTTTTAATTATCATCTAGTAGTTATTATATATCACAAAGAAGATTGAGAATTGCCTAAAATAATATGTTAAACAGTTACAAAAATGGATGTTGAATTTCCCTATCTACATTGGTGTGTGTATATCATGTAACAAAACTTACAGTTGTTTGGTTATGCTGTCAATTTTTGATTTATTTTATAGTTAAACATATATATTCTTTCATTTAAAATGTTACATCTAAAAGTTATTTTTAATATGAATTTCTATTTTGATATCTAACTACAAAGCCAAACAAACCCTAAATTACTAAAACTGGAAACACTTGAATTAAGGGTTTGAATCTAGAACATCATCAAACATATAATATACCAAATTAAAGGGTAAAATCTCTGCAAGATTAATTATTACAAATAATATCACAGAAATATTCAAAACAAATTAAAAAAAAAAAAAAAGAAAAAAAGATCAATACCCTAAAATTCAACACCAAACCCTGACTACAATATATATTGATAATATTATTATTATTACTACTATTTCAGCTGGAGCAGAAAGTAATCAGAAGTCCCGGGACCTCCAGTCCTTCTGAAACTCGTCATTACCACCGCCGGAAAGTCCGACGGAGTAAACTCCGTTCCAGATCTCCGTAAAAGCCCTAATTATAATTCCGTGGTAATAAGGCGAGTTCAGCTGTAAGAAGCACTTGAGAAGCTCTTTCAGGTCCTTCTTCGCGTAGATCTCTTTCTCCAGAATCATCTGCAGCATCGACCGCCGGAAGTCCAGGTAAGGGTCGTCGGAATCCTTCTCCACCGCCACGCTGTCGCCGCCGCCGATCCTGCCGAGACGACGGACCACCTTGATGTCGGAATCCGTGTCGGAGGAGGAGGATCTCGCCGGCGGCGTCGCGACGCCGGAGGATAAAGTGGTGGTGGAATTTGACCGGCGGCTCCGGTGGAGTTTTCCGGCGGCGATCACGGCGGCGAGGCTGGGCTTTCTGCAGCTGCTGCAGCCTGTGTCGACAGACACTGTGTTAAGGATGTAATTTTTCTTGGAGATTGCCATTTTTGTGATTAAGGTTTTTGCTTTTTGGGAGAAGTTTTTGGTGTAGTGAGGTTTGTTTGTGTTTGTATATATAGAGAGAATGTTAGGGGCGGTTTTGCTAATCTCACTGCTTGGTCATGGAACTGGATCACGGGCGTTCGAGGGACACGATTTTATTGGTTTGTCATGATTGGAGGTGACCGCCGCGTCACTCTTTAAAACTTGCCACGCTGAGAGAGTAGACATTATAGGCCGGCCATTGACAGTTTTTATCGAAATATAAAATAAAGCCAAATTAGTCCATAATGGGTGTTTTTTTAGCCACCTAGTTGTGCCTCATGGATTTAAACTCCCGATATTTAAAAATTTTGTTTTTAAGACATGGTTCATTTGTTAGAGTGTACTCGTCAAATAGTGACTACGGATTCTCTCATTATTAAAAGGTAATACTCTCTTTGCCTCGGATATTTTATCCGTTTTACTATAAACACGAAAATTTAATAGGGGTATAATTAGTAAATAATTAAAAATATATTAGTAAAAATAATTATCTTATAATAAAAATAATTATAGATTAACATTAAAATAACTAATTAGTATAATTAAAATTAAAAAAATATAAATTAAATTTTTTAAAATAAGATTAAAGTATTTAATTCTTTTATAAAAAACCATGAAAGATAAACATGAGAAATGAATGGAGTAATAAATAAAGGAGAGTCTTTTATATTTTGAATTTATTTTCTTTGAATTTAATTATTTATAAATAAAAATATGTATTGCTATATAGTACTTCATCCATCCTATTTTAATTAATATTTTAAAATTAACATATTTTTTTTAGTTAAAATATACTAAATTCAAACATATTTAATAAATAAATATTTATTTAATTATATAACATCATATACATGAGTAAGACTATTCAAAATTCTTTTATTTATATTTATTTTTTCATAAAATAAATACTACTTTTTATCTACATTCAAATTCTATCTCTTTTATAAAATTAGTTTATATTAATTATAAATAAAAAAATCTTTTTTATTTACTTGTATCATATGAAATTTTTATTTTTTATAAATGATGTTCATATTATTTTTTTTAATTGCGATATAATTTTTAAAATAATTAAATAGATATTTTAAAATTTTTTAATCATATATATTCAATTTATTTGAAAATGATCAATATAATTAATTATATGAAAAATAATTTCATAATTTACTATTATTAATTTATTAAACATAGTTACCTTAAATGTCTTACTAATTAAAATGATCAACTATATTAGGACAGATAGAGTATATATTTTAACAAGAATCATACAATAATAAAAAAAAAAATTAAATTTCATTTTTAAGTGATAACTTTCACAATTTTATTACCATTTTACCGTTCCTTTGTGTTTAAAATTTTGTTATACATAAAGAAAGAACAAACATTCTAAATTAAAAATAATTGTCAATGAAATTAGCTAAAAAAGAAATGAAATACTTTATCTGTGGTATTAAGGTGTGTTTGTTCCCCTAAAAAAATTAAATTAAATACTTATATTTTATTTTTTATATTATACTAAAAATCAATTTTACATTAAAAAAACATCACGTCAATACCTATTTATATCACATCCTACAACTATTCAAATTCAAATTTTTTACTATTTAAATTTCAATTCAAAATCCAGACCCTCAAACAAACACACTCTAAATAAAAATATCTTCTAATTATCTTTTAATTTTTTTTAATTTTTGCTACAGACCAATAGAGACTATTTTTACATAACTAATGGAGTAATACAAATTCTATAAAACAAAAGTGTTCGGCTAGTATGACTTTCCTATCGGTCTGGTTTGCAGGTATTAGGTTTGGCCGGAGATCTGCTCAGTGCACACTTTCGGACAGCGGCTGCGGATTCCAATATCATAAAAAAAAAAAAAAAAAAAAAAAAAAAAAAAAAAAAATCCGTAAGGAATGGTCTGCTAATGTGAATCTTGACTCGAAGTGACCATTGATTTATAAATAAATGATATGAGAATCCACCTATAGCTTCGACTCCGAGCTCAAGTTCCTCCCATTGTCTTTCTTGATAATTCCGGCGACATGTCGCGCAACCCACACCGATCCGGCCTCAGAACAAGAGAAAGCATGCGTATGACCCTCACGCTCGACCTCCGCAGAGGCATCTGGAACCTTCCGGCACATCTGCCATCAAAGAGACCAACACGAATTAGATATCCAGCAGTGACAGAGCTAGCCGTAAAACTTCGAGGGGTCAAAATATCAGTTCTTTTTATCGATTCAAATGTTGTGTTTTTCGATTTCTCTCAGCATAGTCGGGTAAAAAACAAATTGAGAAAAACTAAATAATTTTTAAACAAAAAAAATCGAAAACATTATATAAAATTCATTAGTTATTTTTACTATAAAATAAAATAAAATTCAAAAAGTAAAAAATGTAAATCAACAAATAAACAAATTTTTATTATATTTTACACTAAAAAATACATATAATTTGGGGGTTAAGGTGCAGTCTCCCAAGCCCCCATTTCCATGATGTCGGGTAGCCGCCAAATTGTGACCTAGCCGGAAGGCCGGCAACTAAAATAGCGCGTATTGTTTGCTCGATATTTCAAAACATTTCTCGAAATGCACACACACAACATGAATGGATCGAACAACGGCTAACCTCTTCATACAAATGCAAGGGACCCCAATGATCATCGGCGCCAAACAAAAACGCGATTCGATTCCTCTTCCATCGGATCAAATCCCAATCCGGATTCTCCGGAAGCTGCCAGACGATGATGAGTGAGAAAAACCGGAAATGCGATGAGGCGAGATGAGTAAAGAAGAGAGACGGCGTACCTTCTCGAACTCGGTCATTGCCATGTAGAGCATATTCCGCATCGTATGATACTGCAGAAAATAACTAATTTTTCATTCCAAATATCGCATCAAATACTATTTCAGCTCGAGTTTTTACTGATTCCAATGTGTTTCCTTACCAAAAATTTCCCAAATTTTATCCCCTCCGTCCCATTTAATTTGTCCACTTTCTATATTTCTGTTTGTCCCACATAATTTGTCTTTTCTTTTCTTGAAAATATAATTATATACTTTAATCACATTTTAAAATTTATAATTATTTTTTTTATTTTAATTAAATTATTTAGTTATTTTTATTAAATCATAATTATTTTCACTAATACATTTCTTAATTACTTACTAATTACACAATATCTAAAACTTCGTGCATAAACTAAATTGGACAAATTAGCTGGGACAAAAGAAAGTACTATTTAGATTCTGCGTGTTTCGAAGAAAATACTTCATCCGTCCCAATTCAAAGTATTCCTTTTACCATTTTTGTCCGTCTCGTTCAAAAGTATCTCTTTCCTATTTTAGAAAAAACAATTGTACACTAATACCAAAACATCTTTAATTTTTACTTAAATTACAAACATATTATTACACATACAATTACTTTACATATAAAGTCAATAAGCAAAAATGTCAAAATTTCTTGCAGACATTTTTAAACCAAATCTTTCCAAATCAAACCCAAAGAAGCATGTACTCTTTTAGACAACAAATGAGAAGTAGAATGAATCGCGCCACAAATCTAAAACGTGTAATGTAAAGAAGTGAGCGCGAGCAAGAACAAAGCGTCGTCACCTGAAGAACATGGCTGCATAGAACTTCGACAGCAGAAGACGACCACGATTTCCCGATCGAATTTTTCACGAGGAATTTCAAAATCGACGTCGGGAGAATTCTCAACGAAGCTCCGATCGTGCTAAGCGCGGCGCATAGAGCGGAGGACCTACATTGAGAATTAGATTTTTCGACACAATTAAACTTAAAACACGAAAAAAGATTAAGTTTTTAGGAAGAGTTGTACGCTGCGATTTTTCTTATCAACGATTGAGTCGACGAGGTCCGGTCGACAGCCAAAAATGGATACAGACAGATGCAGTATGCAACCTAAAGAATCGAAGTGTTCGATTACTACGACGCTGTAATAAATACCGAATAATAATCTTTAAATAGCATACTTTCTCTTGAGATCTTCGGAACATTTCAAGACAAATGTGTGCGCCGATGGAATGACCGATCTGAATCCATTAGTACATACACATTTAGAAATATCGAAGAATTCTTCGGACACTGCTGTAATAGAAAACTGGACATGATCGCGCGATGACAAAACAAAATTTGATCGCGAAATACGGTTCTTACCAATACGACGGGCACATCGACGTCTTTGAGTTCATTATCGACAAAGCTTATCTGAAAATTTTTAAGAGTTCTTCGATACTAAATAAAACCGAAAGCTTCTTTGAAACAACGTCGATTTCGATAGATGGCCTTAAAATGCATACATTGCCATTATCATTACAAAAAATTATACCTTATGATCGATTTGTTCTTGCAAAGAGAACAATCTACCGGACTCCGAATCCTAGCAATTGTATTTTTTTGTGCTGTTATTACAATGTCAGAAAGAACATTAGATTGGATCGATGTGTAAGAGAACAAACAAACTTACCTTGCCCGAGTGGGATATGTGGCCAACAGCTTCATAAAAAAAAATTAATCAAATAAATTAAACAATCGCCATGGATGCAGAATTCGAAGAAAACAGAAATGAAATTCGATAAATCATCACAAGCCTGTGATCGATGCAGTTCCTCCAAGAAACTCAAACAGCCAATCCAAAAAATCAGCGTAGAACGAAACGACTCCTATGACACAAAAAAAAAATAATAATAATACATTCGATAATTAATTGCCCAATCCTTTTCCAATCGCACAGACAACCTCAAACATGGATGAATTGAGTACCAGGATTTCCAGGAACAAACACAATGTGCAATGCAGGATTATGGCAAGAAATCTCTAACAATTCCGTCTTAAACCTAGGTTAAAATCAGCACGAAATCAATTAATCAACAAAAGACAGCGAAATCCACGGTAAGAACATGAACAAAACGACGTCGTTTTAGAATCACCCGGAAACATTAGCGAGCCGAAAAATTGCTTGCTTCCTCGTCTGAATCAGACCTAATTTTTCACTCCCCATCGGTTTCGCGCTGCGGAGAATTGTTGTGCAGTTAAAGAAATGGGTTCGGAGGTTGGAGAAGACTCTTGGAGGGGGTGAGAAAGGTTTCGACAGCATCGGAATCATCGATGTAGGGATGGTCTTTTGCGGCTGTGTTGTATTGTAGAGTGTAGTGTAGGATTCGGAAACGCGCTTTTATTTTCCGCGACACGTTTTTTGGGAACTTTATGCATAATCGTGTTTTTGGAGGATATTTTATTTAGATGTTCGATGAAGCTTATTTATTGCACATAATAATTACCAAAAAAATAAATAAGAACAAAACAAAAGAATAAATGAATCCGCTGTTGTAGTAGTTTATCAACCTCGTTTGGATTTGTATATGTTCATGTTATAGATAGTTTGTGGCTGGAGTTGGGATCCCGGGACTTCTCTTCTTGGAACCTTGGACCGAGAGTAAATTTTGAGAGGCTTTCGACTATCGTTGAATTGTTGAATTTTAAATTAGAAGTTAATTGTGACTGATTTATTTAATTAATATTTAATTTATAATATAATTTAAAAAATTTAAAATTTTATTTAAATACTTTAAAATTTATATTTTAATCAAATATATTAAATAAGTAAAAAATAAAATTTTATATAATTCAAATAAATAATATAGATATATAAATCTTCATTCATAAGTAAAAATTAATTTTATAAAGAATACTACAAACATATATTCCTATTTTTTTTTTCACCGAGTTTTAGAAATATTAATATTATATTAGGATAAAGTCGTAATAAAGGTAAAAAGACTAAATTAACCCTATTAGTATTGTATGATATAAAAGTAATAACATTTGTGTAATATATTGTAAATTGAAATGATATTTGTAATGTTAGGTAGATAATACAATTACTAAGAAAATGAAATAGATATTTTGCTATGGGACTAACCAAAATAAAAAAAATGAATAAATTATCAAAGGACGAAGGAAGTATTTATTTGTTCAAGAAATAGATAGAAAATAAAAAATTTTAAATGACTGTGTGTGTTTACAAGAGTTTTTTTTTTAAGTATTTTAAATAAAAATCAATATTATTGACGTGTTTTTAATAAAAATATGTCTTTCGTCCCATAAGAATAATGTCACTTTCTATTTATATCGATCTCGAAATTAAGTTATTATTTTCTAATTTAATAATTATATTATATATCTAACATAATAAGTACTTTTATAATTTACAATATATTACACAATTGTCGTTATTTTCATATTACTCGGTACTAATAGAATTGTTTTGTTTTGTTTTTACTGCAAAAGTAATATAATACTAATATTTTAAAAATTATGGTGAAAAAAATCAAATAATACTATTCTTACTGGATGTAAAGAGTATAATATTTCGTCTTATAAAACATAATATTATTTCAAGTGAATTTTAAATTACAATCAAATCAAATTTTTTAAATTGAAATAATTGAAAGTTCTTAGAGGGCATGCTTTATATGATATTGCTTTTGGCGTATGAATTCAATGCTCACTCTATGTACATAATCAATTTATTCACCCAACAGTTTTTAATGAAATTATTCTTTATAAATATTATTAAAAAAAATAAATATATACATATTAATATAATATTCCTCCGTCCACTTACAAAGTTTACATGTTTCTATTTTGGGACGTCCAATTACAAAGTTTACATTTCATTAAATACCCTATTTTTTTCCATAAATACCCTTACTTTACATCACATCATTATTTTTACACGAAAAAATAAGGGCAAAAATGTCATTACACTACTTTTAAAATACTATTATTTCTTAAACACCGCGCCAAAAATAAATGTAACCCTTGTAAATGGACGGAGGGAGTATATATTATTCATTCATAAAAAGTCAATCATTTAATACAATGTTATTTTTTATATTACAACATAGTTCTCCATACAAAAAAATCAATTCATCTAAAAACACGCTGGGTGAAGAGATTCATCTAAAAACGCTGAGTCGAATTTATCGTATAGAATTAATGTCTTCTATTCTAATTATTCATGTGTTTGAAAGTTTAAGTGCGTTTGTTTTGTGTTGTGGTTTGAAGAAATTTTTTTTAATGTAAGATAAAAAAATTATGTAAATAATATAAAAATAATAAAAATATGTAGTAAAAAACCTTTTGAAAAAAAACAATTAAAGTTGTAACCGCAAGTTATTAAGTCATTAAAAAATAAAAATTATAGATTTTTACGTTTATAGATGAACAAGTGATATATAAAAATTACTCTCTCCGTTTCTGATATAATGTCCGTCCTTGATATAATGTCAATGTTACTTAGACACAAAATTTAGAAAATGTATGACTAGTAAATAATTAAGAATTTATTTTTAAAAATAATTATAATATAATAAAAATAATTATATATTAAAGTTAAGATAACTCATTAGAATAATTAAAAATTAAAAATAAATGAAATTTAAAAATTTTAAATATGATTAAAGTGTATAATATTTTTTTTAAAAAAAAATGACATGAAATGTGTGACGAATGCAAAAAAATGTGACATTATATATGAGACCGACGGAATAGTTAAATTTATATTAACTCCATCCCACAATGAGTGTATTTGTCGCTATAGACACGAGAATTTAAAATAAGTATAATTAGTAGATAATTAAAAATATATTAGTGAAAATAATTAACCTATAATATAAATCATTATAGATTAAAATTAATACTTCCTTCATCCCATAACAAGGTATTCGTTTGCTTTTTGCACGGAGTTTTAGAAATATTAGTATTATATTGAAATTTAGTATGAATAAAGTGAAAATTACTAGAATAACCTTATTAGTATTGTGTGATATAAACGTAATGACATTTGTGTAATATATTGTAAGTTGTAAGGATATTTGTAATGTTTGATAGATAGTTATGAGACAGACTAAAATGTAAAAATGATAGTTTGTTATGGAACGGACGGAGTATAACTAATTAGTTTAATTAAAATTAAAAAAATTAAAAGAAGATTAAAATAGATAATTTTTTTTTTTTTGAAAAAGGTGACATGAAAATTATTGTTAAAAAAAAAATGACATGAGATGTGAGACGGACATAAATGATAACATAGATGCGGAACGGATGGAGTATTATTTTAGAATTACGTACTAAAAATATCTTTAATTAATAGCTGTTAAGGAGTATTATAATTCTATTCTCTTTAATTAAAAAAATTGAACTTACAATTTTTATAAATATAAATCATTCTCCTCAATAAAATATTAATTATTTAAAACATAAAAAAACAAATATAGAAAGAATAAACCCTAAATTGAGGTATTGGCTGAAACTCGGGCATTGGGACCTACCTACCTGAGTTCCATCCAAGATGATATACCGTACCGTACCGAAAATACCGATCGATATCGATATCGTATCGAATTTTTTGGTATGACGAAAATATTTATCGGTACCGTACCGAAATTTTAAATATACCGAATTTTGGCACATCAAAATTTTCGGTATTGTAGGTATATATACCACTTATACCGAAAATTTTGATTTTGATAGATACTTGTATAATTTTAAATTTCAAAATAATTAAAAAAATTAATAAATATCACAATTCTCCACCTTAAAAATATTACGAAAAAATCAATAAATTTTCAATAGTTTATATATATATTTTTTGTTATGATTTTAAAAAAATTAATAATTATCATTTATATTAATAATTAAATTATTTAATAAAAATAATATCGGTACCGAAATACCGAACTCTCCGAAAATTCATACCGATACCGAACTTCAGTATGATATCCATACCGTACCGAAATTTTCGATATTCTCAACAATAAGTAGGTATTTCGGTATATTGGGTAAATTTATCCGTTCCTAGTTCCATCATCCCCACAGTCCCTTATGGATCACACTAAAGAAGCTTCCATAACAATACCATATCATATGATCAAACAATAATAATAATAACAATAATAATAATAAAGCTTTTTTAAGTTTTTATTTATGTAAATTATTTTTTCATTTTGATTTTAATTTGCATCAAACGTAATCTTAAGCGACACACGCACACACTTACACGAATTGAATCGAACGGCTCTGGTGGTGCTATCTGAGGCCCGGAAAAATCTGGAGCGTCCAATTGAGGATCCGAATGACGCTACGGCGGAGGAGGTCAAAGAAGGCGGCGACGCGTTGGCAGAAGCCGTCTCCGGCGGCGCCGGGCGACGAGGACATCGGCTGGAGGTACGCCCAAGCAGCCTGCTTCACGAGCCGGTTACGGATACAGATGTCGGAGTCCGATTGGAGGACCTGGCTCGGCTTCGGCGAGTTCACGGCGGCCGCCGGCAGGAGGTCTTTCAGGGAGGTGTAGCTGTAGGACGCCGGCTTGATGACGAGGAGCTCGAGATCGTCGGAGGAGGAGGAGAAGGTTCCGGTGGTGGTGGTGGAGGAGGAGCTGCGGTGGGGGAGGAGGATTAGCTTCGGCGGCGCGGCGGGGACGGAGCTCCGGCGACGGAGGAGGGGGTGGTCTTGGCCGTTTGTGGGGGAAACGACGTCGTCCATGGAGGCGGCTCGGCGGAGCTTAGCGGCGCGGCTTATTCGGCTCTTAAGGGTTTGTTTTGATTTGGGTTTCAGTGTTCAATTTTGATTTTCTCAGCAAGCCAACAATTATTGGGGCTTACATAATACAAACTTTCTGCGTAGAAGTGCTGGAAGATCCCGGGACTTCGGGGCCGGATTTGATACGCTCCACTTCTAGCGTGGGACCCGTTTTTTCGATTGTATTGATCTACTCCGGTGTCGCCGTCCCCGGGCTTCTTAGATTTAGTGTCCAATTTTGACTTGTGGAAAGTCAAAAATACCCCTAACTGAATTTATTTTTTGGAAGAAATGGGAAAGGCAAATGGCATATCGACACAGCAATGACAAATAATCCAATATGGAAGAAAGGTGGTGGTCTGTTACGAAAGAGAACATCAATGAATTATTTTGTTGGGGTCTTTTTATTTATTTTATAATAGCTAAAACCCATATAATTTGTTGGGTGGTTTTTATTTAAATTTTTATACACACATGAAAAATTAATACGTGGATATATCATTTTCTTGAAAATGGGTAGTCATGGGGCATGGGACCCACAGTTGCCTTGGTTCTTAGAGAAATCGTGTTGGCCAAATGAGAAAACGTTTTGTAATAGTTCAATTTGTTGGGGAAACTATATTCTCCCTCCGTCCCATAACAAGATATCTATTTATTTTTTGCATCATTGTATTCAACGTTAAAAATATTTTTATATTTGTATAATTTTTTATATAAATGTCATTGTATTAGTATAAGATACTAATAGAAATATTTTTACAATTTTTTCTTAATTTGTAATACGTTTTAATATAATAATTAATATCCAAAGACAAACACGCAAAAAGTAAATGAATACTTAGTTATAGGACGAATAGAGTATTTGAGTTTTACTATTCTAATACTTTATCTTTTAAAAAAATATTATATCGAATAATTATTTTAATTTAAAATTTTACTATTCAAAACTAGAATCAAAATTAAAATCCTACAAATAAACACATTATATGTGTTCCGGGAATGATAAGAATTTTTTTTCTACAATGGCTCTATTTCACAAGGGAAAATGTCTTTTCAATCTCTTCTCTGCGAGCAAATCCGTAGCTACGGTGAATGAGAATCTCTCTCAATTTTTTCTTCAATTTCTTGAACATTTCTTAATTTTGAAAAAAATTCTAAGAATTTATGAATAGAGTTAGACTTGAGACAACCTTTGCCGAAAACAAAATTCACTCTAATGGCGGCTGGTGAAAACTTTGGCGTAGACAGACCGGTGGTCATGATGAAAAGAGAAGAAGAGGGTGGCCGCGATCTTGTCTCAACTGCATGAGACAATGTCGACGGTGCACCAAAATTATGGCCCGAAGAAGATGACCATTGCTGATGTCTTTTTTATGGCGTGGGGAAAAGACGTCTAAAATGAAAAGAAGGATCGTTAGAAAAAAGTCACTGTGTGTGCTCTTAAACCAGCAGTCCCGTTAGAATTATTTCAAGCTTATTTACTAGTACGAGTTAGAGCACACATAATGACTCAGAACTAAATATTTTAATGTTTAAATTTGATTTCGCTGCTAAAATTTTGCGGAGCCGTGTGGACTGGTAGTCCCGGGAGCTGCTGTAATATTCGAATGTTACCAATAATGGGCCAGAATATAACGGGCCAGCCCAACTATTATATTAGGCTCTCAATATTAGTAACGTGTAGTCGTGTTTCACTATTTTGCGACGTTAAAGCAATATGGAGAAAAGCGTGGTTTTAAATGTCGCTTCACGTTCGCCGCAGCGTCTTCTGCTGCGGTTGCTTTTCCCCACTCGCTCATAAGAGTCGGTCCCTGCGCTCATTCGCCGTGAATCTTCGAATTGCCGGCAATCGGAAGTTGTTTCCGAGAAGTTTGATTCGGATCTCGTCATTTTCTTCCATGTCTCACCGCCCTAACTTCCAAGGCGGCCGTCGTGGCGGCGGAAGAGGTGGAGGTGGACGAGGCGGTGGCGGAAGAGGTGGAGGTGGACGCGGCGGCGGCGGAAGAGGTGGTGAGCAGCGGTGGTGGGATCCTGTATGGCGAGCTGAGCGCTTGCGTCAAACAGCACCCAAGGTGCTCTATTTTTTTATTTATTGTTTGTTGAATATTTGGCTTCCGTAGCATTTCTCTTATTTTTTTGATATGGAGAACATGGTTTTTTCATCATTTATCATTCTAAAAATTATTTCTAGCTCGGGGCACTTACTGACTTGCATATTGAGCTGAGAATTTTAAGCGGGGAACTCATACGAAGAATGTGTAAAGAGTTTATTAGTTTCATCTACGTCGCCATTGCCTTTAAAGCTTGAATTTCTGATTCATATATATGGAATAGGTGTTCGTGGATAGTGGAATGGGGAAGTATGAATTGATAACACGTAGTTGAATTCTTGCACTAATTATGTGCTTGAGTGCGTTACTACGTTTGCCACTAACTTGTTTTTATTGATCTAGATAGAGGCAATGGATCAGAATGAATGGTGGGGGAAAATGGAAGAAATGAAGAAAGGAGGGGAGCAGGAGATGATAATAAGGCGATATTTCAGCAGAGAAGATCAGCAGATATTGGGCGATATGGCTAATCAATTGAGCCTTTATTTGTAAGTTGTCATGTCTTTGTAATCTACTGTTACATGCCGCTCATTTCGTTGAAATATTGATGGGAAGTATATGCAGCAGCTGTAGCATATTGTCTAAAACCCTAAACCCTATCCTATGTTGGTTACTCTTATATATTGATTGAGTAAGTTCCTTTTTTTTTTGTTTTTTTTTCACTTAGTGTTCCTGGAAATGTAAAATTTAGGTAACAGCTGCTATATAAAATCGCATTGAGAGAACTTGAAAATCTGCACTTAACAACTGCTTTGGATGAAGTATGCAATGTACTTTAGAAGTTGGTATATCTTAGGATAATCATTGAATGACTGATCGATCACTCTATAGAAATCCTCATTAAATCTTGTGCTTCTGTAATGTGTTGTGTTGTCTCTTTTGATAGTGGGCATTATGTATTTACATATCTGACTTTATCATCTTATGGGTTTGGAAGTCATGCATATAATAAAGGGAAGGCACTTGTTGTGAGCAAAGTTCCATTGCCTGATTATCGGGCAGATCTTGATGAGCGGCATGGCTCAACAAAGAAAGAGGTATTTGGTGCAACAATTTGTGGAAAATGATTAACTACACCAGACTCTTTATGTTGCTTGTGGCGTGTGTCACCTCTCCTTTTGGACAATATTTTCAGATAAACATGTCCTCAGAGATTGAAAGAAGAGTTGGGAATTTGTTGAATAGTTCCAGTGGGTCAAGACCTGCAGAGATCAATTCTTCCAGTTCTTCTCAGAATGCAGCATCACAATCCAAACTGGCTGAACTTAACAACAGAGTAATGTTGCAGACTGGTATTGGCACAGAGGACCTTAATTTGGAACTGAAACAGAAGCAGGACAACCTGAGGGTATGTGGCCTGATGCCATGAATTTCTCTGTTTCGTTGGTTAAAGATACCTGCGAATGACATGTTTCTTGCAATGCAGGAAAGTGATAGTGTAAAGACAATGCTAGCATTTAGAGAGAAACTCCCAGCTTATAAACTGAAATCTGAGTTTTTAAAAGCTGTAGCAGAAAATCAGGTAATCCAGTTGCTATTTTTCATGCTCTGCATTTATGCTTAAACTTTTAAATTCTAATGCCGTTAAACAGCTGTAGCAGAAAATCGGGTAATCCAATTGCTAATTTTCATGCTCTGCACTTGCTTACAGTTTTATCTTCTAATGCTGTTGAACAGCTCCCTGTTCTCATAGTTTGTTTATTGTATGCTTGTCTCCTGTCACTTATTATTATCCTATTTCATTCTGCTTCATTTCTGCTTACATCTGTCTTCTAGATATGATTTCTGAAATATATTTTAGCTTTTGAGCCCAGAATATGTTGAGGTCTTAGTAAAACCAATGAATTAGTTTGATATATTTACTGCAGTAACATATATGCATTGCAGAAGTTTCCTCTGTAAACCATCATTTTTTTGCCCCCGACTAAAATCAGGGGTATCCTGTACTTCATTTTTTTCAATGACATGGGTTTTTAGTGTTTTCCTATAAACATCTGACAAACTTCTATTCATTGCTACTTGTATCTCTTTGTCTGTCATATTTTCATATTATGAAGGGACTCTGCCTTTTTAATTCCTGTATGTTATCAATGATGCAGGTTCTGGTAGTATCAGGAGAAACGGGTTGTGGGAAAACCACCCAGCTCCCTCAGTTTATCCTGGAAGAGGAGATATCATCTCTAAGAGGTTCTAGTTGTAGTATAATATGCACCCAACCTCGTAGAATATCTGCAATATCAGTTGCTGCTCGAATATCCTCAGAAAGGGGAGAGAAGCTTGGTGACACTGTAGGCTATAAGATTCGTCTGGAATCACAATGCTCTGCTCAAACAAGATTACTCTTTTGCACAACTGGAGTTTTGCTTCGGCAGCTGGTATTGTGTTGATTGGAAGTTTTACACCTGCTGCCTGTTACGAGATTCAGGATTTTGGTTTATTCTTCATTCCTGTATACAGGTGCAGGATCCAGATTTAAGTGGAATTACTCATTTGCTGGTGGATGAAATTCATGAAAGAGGGATGAATGAGGACTTCCTGCTAATAATATTACGAGACATCCTCACTCGCCGTCCAGACCTTCGCATTATCCTGATGAGTGCCACAATCAATGCTGACTTATTCTCAAAATACTTTGGAAATGCTCCCACTATTCATATCCCCGTATGCAATGCTAACTTATGTGTTATCCTGTCTTCAATGTTTGCTATAATAGGCATTTCCCATATGCAGTAAGTATTCTGGCACTATTTCTTTTGCAGGGATTTACCTTTCCAGTGAAAGAATTTTATCTAGAAGATGTTTTGGAGAAAACTCGTTACAGTATTCAATCAGATTCTGACAATTATTCAGGAAACTCTAGAAGAGGTCGGCGACAACAAGAGCCCACGAAAGATCCTTTGACAGAACTATTTGAGGTGTTGCTTTCATGATTCTTGAGAATTTTGAATATGCTTTTGTTTGAAGTAATTAAATAGTGAGCAGCAACACTGAGAATTGGATTGATTTGCATTGTCTTATTTGATTTTATGTTTCACTTGGTAGCTTTTTCATGATGCTGCTAAAGCATGGGAAACTGTTTCTAGCATATAGAGCAGTTATAATTCATATTGAAAGTCAACACACACCTGACTATGTTAAAGAAATTTGATCATGTTGTGTGTCATATTTGATTAGTTTTCTGAATATCCTGCTAATATACTAGCTTTAAGAAATCAATGTAATATTTTCTCATCTCACCAATTTTGACCCCTTGTTCTAGTTTGGTGTCCATTTGTTTATTCTGATAGGAGTGAGTTTCTCTTAGCATATAATAAAGCTTTTGATTGTTAGATAGCCTATGCTCATAAGAATGCATGTACCAAATTTGTATCATACCATGTAACTAAAGTGCAACTCCATGAATTCTCTAGCTTCAAGATATATTCTCAAAATTCTACAACCTACAAGATACTAATATTTCTCCTATTCTTTTTTCAGGACGCAGATATAGATTCACTCTACAAAGGCTACAGCAGAAACACCAGACAATCACTTGAAGCTTGGTCGGGTTCTAAGCTGGACTTGGGACTTGTATGTATCTTTGAGTTGTATAATTTTACATGCACCTAAATTTATAAATTGGGTGAAATATCCAAAGATAACAGAACAGTTTAATTTCTTTTAACAGTTATTTTAATTACTCTGTTGTTTTACATCAACATCATTGTCAAAACTCCAACAATAGGAAGTCTGATTGATAATCACTACTTTTAGCAGATCTGTATCCTTCCTATGACCTCTGATGTGGTAGAGTGCTGTTTTATTTTATTTTCAGTTTTGTCTTTTCATTTAAGTTTTTGACAGCTGATTGATATTACTTGGTTTTGTTGGTAGATATCTCAAAGATTGACGTTGGCAACCTATTTATTTTTTTTACAGGTGGAAACAACTATTGAGCATATATGTTGCCGTGAAGATATTGGAGCAATTCTTGTTTTCCTTTCTGGATGGGATGAAATTTCAAAGCTCCTCGATAAAATCAAAGCTAACAGAATTCTGGGAGATGCAAGTAAATTCTTAGTTCTTCCACTTCATGGCTCAATGCCTACTATTAATCAACGAGAGATTTTTGACCGTCCACCTCCTAATGTTAGGTAAGCATCTTTATCTTTTATCTCCTCTTTACATGTTCAAAAATCTGTTTTCCAAATGAAGCAGAATAGGTATGTGTAATACAATTGGTATGAATTTCCTCTCATACACTGAAAACCGTTAAGGGATCCGCTGTTCCAACTTAAACGAATTGGTATTAAATGGAATAGCCATACCCTTATAAGTAATAGGAAGTTCCAACATTTTTCTTATGTGGGACAATATTCAACATTCCCTCTCTATATATTCTCGAAATCCCTTAATTAGAACCAATATCCAATATAGCCCATGGCTCTAATGCCATGTCAAAAAAGGATCTGGATTTCTAACTTAAAACCAATTGGTGTTAAGTGGTGTAGCAGTAATAGGGTGTTCCCACATTTTTCCTATGTGGGACAATGTTCAACAAAAACAAACCGCCAGTCTCTTGGTGTGCAACATATGAAGTTGTTTGCACATGCCAGTTGTTCTCATTTGATATGAATGAAGCAAGTTGGGACGTTATATTGAATATTTCTTTCTCACTGAAACCTTTTGGGATTCCAACTGTAAAAGCTTTTCAATCTTAATCTAGTGGACTAATATGTTCCAAACTTATTTTCATCATTTTTAGCTTTCATTCATGGAAATTATTGTTGAGATCAGCTTGTTTTGATCCTTACAAGTTTCAGCTACACTTGTGTTCTATTCATGACACTAACCATGACCTTTCAATTGTTCTCGTTTGTTCATGTGGTGGTTTTGTACACAAGCTTAAACTCTTTTCTAAGAAACACAATTTGTGTAATTGATAGATACTGCAGTGAGAGATGCTGCTTGTAACAATTTTTATACTTAATTTTTATGATGTTTGATTCTGCAGAAAGATTGTGCTAGCAACCAACATTGCTGAGAGTAGCATTACGATAGATGATGTTGTGTACGTTGTGGATTGCGGGAAGGCAAAAGAGACAAGTTACGATGCTCTTAACAAACTAGCTTGCCTTTTACCTTCATGGATTTCTAAGGCGTCAGCTCATCAGGTATTTTGACAAAACATCTAGCCATTTTAATTGGGCTTGCAGCTGTCAAAATTTATATCTTAAGTACTATCTGTGTATGACTAAATTTGCTCTCATATGATTTACTGCATTTTTTCCTTTGGTAACTTGTTATGGGTAATTGCAGAGACGTGGTCGTGCGGGTCGTGTGCAACCGGGAGTTTGCTACAGACTATATCCCAAAATGATCCATGACGCTATGCCGGAATACCAGCTGCCTGAAATGCTTCGAACTCCTCTGCAGGAGCTATGTCTGAATATCAAGAGCTTGCAGCTTGGTTCAATCAGTACATTTTTGTCAAAGGCTCTCCAGCCACCTGATCCGCGCTCTGTGGAAAATGCCGTTGAACTTCTCAAAACAATTGGCGCTCTAAATGAAAATGAAGAGCTCACTCCACTTGGTGCGTGGTATTTAACATTATCGGGTACTCATTGTCTTCATCCGATTCCATAACCGATATCTAATAAAGAACGCTGCTAATATTTAACAGGACGGCATCTCTGCACATTGCCTCTGGACCCGAATATTGGAAAGATGCTTCTCATGGGTGCAATCTTTCAGTGCCTTAACCCTGCGCTAACAATAGCCGCTGCCCTTGCTCATCGTGACCCGTTTGTTCTTCCATTAAATAGGAAAGAGGAAGCCGACGCTGCGAAAAGATTCTTCGCCGGTGATTCATGCAGGTTCGTCGGCATAACTTTAAACTCGATAGATAAATACATTAATATTGACGAGCTTACCCGTCTTTGAAACAGCGATCACATTGCGCTCCTCAAAGCATTCGAAGGCTGGAAAGACGCGAAACGTAATAGAAATGACAAGTCTTTCTGTTGGGAAAATTTTCTGTCGCCGGTAACCATGCAAATGATGGAAGACATGAGGCTTCAGTTCTTGGATTTCCTGTCCGGGATTGGTTTCGTAAACAAATCCTTAGGCCCTCAAGTAAGTGTGTAACCTTGCGACTTCTTTCCAACATAAAATTACAATAATCCGCGCCGTTGATTGGAATTCATGTATGATCGCAGGCGTACAACAAATACAGCAACGATCTGGAGATGGTATGCGCGATTCTCTGTGCGGGACTCTACCCGAATGTTGTGCAGTGCAAAAGACGCGGAAAGCGAACCGCATTCTACACGAAAGAAGTCGGTAAAGTGGACATTCATCCTGCGTCGGTAAACGCCGCCGTTCATCTCTTCCCGCTCCCGTACATGGTGTACAGCGAAAAGGTGAAAACCAACCTCATCTACATACGAGACTCGACCAACATATCCGATTACGCGCTGCTCATGTTCGGAGGGAATCTTGTCCCGAGCAAAAGTGGGGACGGCATCGAAATGCTCGACGGTTACCTGCACTTTTCCGCGTCGAAGCCTGTGTTGGACCTAATACGGGTACTCCTACACTTATCTCGACATATTTATTCCGACACTGTTCTTCGAACATGAATTAGTCGTATGGTTCGATCCTGAATTCTCTACTTCAATTCACGACTAACTTTTTGCAGAAACTTCGCGGGGAGCTCGACAAGCTTCTCACCCGGAAAATCGAGGAGCCGGGGCTCGACGTAACGGTGGAGGGGAAGGGTGTTGTTGCAGCTGTAATCGAGTTGTTGCACAACCAAAATATTCGGTAAGCGTTAAGAGTTTTAATCTTTACATATTTCACTAGTCATGCACTTTTATTACAAGTAGAATAATTCATATACATATTAGTACACTTACCATTTTTATTTATTTATTTATTTTTTAATGTTGTGTCGTTTTGATTGGTGTGCTGTGTGCTAATATAATTTATTGCTGAATTAAATCTAAATTATTGGGTTAGTTACAAAATCAATGATCGAAAGATTCAGTAAGGAATTAAGAAATTACATGGTAGTATTCACCAGAGTTCTTTATTTCTAGTTTAATAGTTTATATATTGTTTAATAGTGTAATTCTGTTGTACACTACATTTGTGGTTCAAGTGTAGATGCCATGGTTAACTTAATACTCGCTCCGGCCCAATACAATAGTCCTATTTACTATTTTTGTCCGTTCAAAAACAATAATTTTATTTTTATAAATATTCATATCTTACTTTTATTTTTTCTTTATTATTACACAATTGATATTCCTCTTTACACTAATATATTCGCAAGGCCATTTGTCCATGTTTTTTTATCTGCTATTAATATAATATCAATAATTTTGTGTCAAATACAATTGTTTTGGGACGGATGGAGTATTTTGTATAATTATGATTAGTATACAAAGAGATGAATATTTTTTGTTATAAAATAATTTATTCCATAAAATATAAATATTTAATACTTAAATTTTACATGGATCTGCCTTCCAATACTTAGGGTGTGTTTATTTTAATGAGTAGTTTGGAAAAAATTTGGTATGATTTGGTATGAAAATAATGTTTGATAGATATTTTTGTGAGAGAAAAAAAAATGTATTTTTTTTCCACCGAAACACATAATCTAAATAATAAAATTAATTTATTAAAAAGAGTAGGAAAGCACTTATGCTATTTCTTTCCATTTTTATTTATTCAATTTATCAGTAAAAATATATTATTTTTTATATAAAAAATATAACATCAACTATAATTTTATTTAGAAAAAAGAAAACAAAACTGACAAAAACTTATAAGATTCAAACCCAACACTCTTTTGTTTTAGTTTTTTCCTTTTTGAAGTAAATATATTGATTTCAATGCGTTTTTTTTTATTTTTTTATTTTGCACAAAAATAGATCGAAATGTAAAAATAATCGAGACTAAAAAATATATGTTTTCTTGTGTTTTCAATTGTCTTCCACTATATATTAATCAATATATATATATATGTATGTATTTTTTTAAAAATATTCTACTAACATTGAACTTTTATTTAAGATATTAAGATTCAGTTTAGATAGAAATTTTAGAATTTAAAGTAAAAAAACTAAATACGTATGTAAAAGGAGAATTCAAGTGTTTAAACTACTTCCTCTAATTTAATTTAATAAAAATTATAAAATTTAAAATATAAAATATTTTTCTAAAAATAAAAAGTAGCATAATAATGTGAAACAGACGAAAATGAAAAATATTTTATAATATGTGAGACTAAGAGAGCAATAAATTGTAATGTAAATTTCAAAAGTATATAAACAAAGTCGAAGTTAAAAAAAATATGTAAGTATTTTTTTAAAATGATGTAGTATTTATTAATAACATATTTTTATTATTCTTTTTTTACTATTTTCAAATCTCACTCAAGATTTTAAAACAAATAGCAACCCAAATATCACATACTCCTATTTTTTATGTATACATAAATTCTGTCAAGGATTAATATTATTTTCTTAAATAATATATTAAGTATTTATTTTTTTTATTTAAAATATTATAGTAAAATTCTGTAATAATTTATTTTTTTATTGTTTAACAAAAAAGACGTAGCAACACTTTATTAAATAAATACATGAGTCATTGTTGAGTGTTGAGAAATGCAAGTGGGATACATCATATATATATATATATATATATATATATCCTCACACACACGTATCAAGAATCAAAGTGAAATCACAATCCCATTACAAATATAAAAAGGCTATTTTAATTAAAGTCAGAATGGTGCAATTTGCACAAATAATAACAATATCTTTTTCATTAAAATTTATGCTCATTGTATTTTTTTATTGTTATAAGAAAATTTTTTTTAATAAGAAAATTCTATTTTTTACTCCTTTTTTACTATAAATTTTTTTTTATTTTTTTTGCACAAATGATAATAATAATAATAGTAGTAGTAATTATAATAAAAATAATAATAATATCTTTTTCATTAAAATTTATGCCCATTATATTTTTCTATTGTTATAAAAAAAAAAAATTATTTTCTTTTTTAATAAGAAAATACTACTTTTTTACTATAAATTTTTTTTTATTTGTATTCAGTCTTTCTAAAATACATAGCCAATGAACATAAATTTCGATAACAAAGTAATAATAATAATAATAATAATAGTAGTTTCAACATAAACGGCTGTGCAATATTTGACAGGTTCATTACAACCTACACACATCACTATAAGCCACACAAAAAATATTATGAAAATTGATGCTATATTATATTATATTAGTATATCCATTCTTTCATTGTTAGGTACGGACAGCCGAAACCTTGCCTCAATTTTCCACCACTTAATTATTTAATAGTATTAAGTTTAGTTGACAACCACAACAAATAAATTAAAATATATATATATATATATATTATACATCATCAAGAATAAGACAAATTAAAAAATAAAGGTGTTAGTTGGGTTAAATTGTGTGAATCGATTCTACCACATGTATTGTGTGTGGGGGAGATTTGTTACTACATACAAAAAATAAATAAATAAATAAATACCATTTTTGAGATATATTTCTAATTAAATTTTTGTATTTTATTAGTATATATTTCTATAATCATAATATTGTAGAACTAAATTTCTTGTTTAATATATATATATATATATATATTTTGTTTATCAATACAAAAAATATTTTATTGCGAATGAATACAATATCCAAGAACTGTCTATGCGTAAACTTAAAATTATTTGCACGGTTCTTTTTTATGGAACAATGAAAATATTTTGTTACGAGAGAAATATAAGTAATGTGAATTATTCAAAAATCGAATCGATTTGCAATATGAGATTCAAGCAATTTGTCTTGATAAAAAAAAAATGTTGATAGAAATGAAAATTAAGTTATGTTAGATTCAAGACAACAAAAAATAAAAAGTATGTCATGGATCAAATTAATAGTTAAAACTTTATTCATCCAAAAACTAAATCAAAATACTTTATGAGGGCACAACTTTTTGCCCATCCATTAATGTATATCCTTTATAGTTGAACCCAAACTATATTCACAAACAACAATACACCAAAAATGTGACTTAAAAAAAAATTGTATGTATATATATGTGTGTGTGTGTTCTAAAAACCTATGAGCATGGATAAGAAAGCATCAAATTTACAGGCACACATGGTGAATTCCTCCAGGCCCTGGAATGTGTTCTCAAGATTTCCCTGGCCCTTTCCCTGATTTTGCTCCCACAATCGACCTGGACTATCAAACACAGCTTCGCCACGACGCCAATCTGCAGCATCTCCTGTAGAACCGCCGGCGTCGACGAATGTCTGGACACAGATTGCAGAATTCTTACAGCCCTTTCGCTGGCGGCGCTGGAGATTCTGAGGATCTTCTTGGAGACGACAGCCAGGCCGGCGCTGTGGGTCAACAGGCCTGATCTTCCATCGGCGCATTGGCAGAGGGAATCCAGGGCCGTCAGGGCCATTTCCGATGTTCTTTTGTCGGAAGATTCTAGAAGGAGGTCGATCAGGGCCGGGACTGCCCCGGATTCGACGGCCTTGATTCGATTCCGGCCCCATGAGATGGAGGTGATTAGGGCTTTTAGAGATGATTTTGTGGCCTTTGGGGAGATTTGGTCTTTTAGGGTTTGGGAAATTTGGGTGAAGAATTCGGGGGTCAGATTGATTAGGAGATTAGGGTTGGAAGATTCTTCGAGGATTGGGTTTAGGAGCATGATTGAGTATGTTCTTGATTCGTAGCTGCCTGATTGCATGATTAGGGTTAGGGATTCGATGAATTGGGGATTGGCTAGGGTTTTCAGGCCTGATTCTGATAATTGGAGGCTGTAGAGGATGCTGAGGGCGTCGCCGGCGGCGGCGCCGGCGTCTCCGTCGCCGTCGTCGAATAGTTGGGGGTTTGAGAGGGTTTGGTTTACGACAATGGCGGATAGGACGGCGGCGGCGCCGGCGGATTCGAGGGAGCGTTTGTTGGTCTGGCTTTGGGCGGCGATGGATTTTAGGGTTTGGAGGGACTTACGGCGGCGCGTGGGGGATTGGGTGTCTTCTAGAAGCTTCGAGATTTGTGGTACGGTGGCGGGGGGTTTGGGGGTGGGGAGGCGTTCGACGGCGTGGAGGGTGCACCAGGCCTGGATCAGGCGACGGAGCGTGATGTTGGGGGTGAGGTCCAGGGACTTGAGGTCCTGCTTGGTGACGGGGCAGGTGGTGTTTTTCTGGGAGAATATCCACCGTTCGATGCTTTCCCTGTCGTAGGTTATCCCCGTGGCTACTGTGACGGGATCTTTCATGGTTTCGAGGGTGATAGGGCAGAGAAAGTAGGGGGGCACTTCGATGTTGTCGGTTTCCGCCATTGATGGACCTCGAGCTCGGATTTGGGCTTGATTTTGAAATTGGCGGCGGTTCCGGCAAGAATTGAATTTCTGAACTTTCAGATGGCTGATCGGAGAAGACGATGAAGGAATGAATTTTGGGAATTTGGGGAATGGGTTTGGTTTTTATATTGGGAAAGTCAAAACACGCTCAATTGTGTGCGCTGTCTCTGGGAAGGAGTTTGGTGGTGGTGGTAGGTCCCGGGAGTTAAACACCAGAACCGTAGGATTTGAGTCTGAATGGTGTTGATGCGCTTCAGTGCTGAAGTCCTGGTGTTGTGGGATTGGAATATGGTTTTTATTATTTTTTTAATTAATATATGGGGTTTTGACTTTTGACTTTTCTTAAAAGACGCTGTACATTGTGTGTAGGATTAGTGTAAGCGAAAGTATCCATTTTGAATTTTCTACGTAGGAATAAGAAATTGCACGTGGTGCTAATTAGTATTACGTGGCGCAGCCACGTGCTTTAATTCACTTTGTCGATGGTCAACTCCTTCCATACATAACATTTTCATAATGGATTATGATGTAACAAGCTCATTGTCCATTTTATTGTCAAGAACATTGAATGTAATTTTTGTACATTCTTTAAATTTATTACCCATAATAATAATAATAATAATAATAATAAAAGTAAAGAAAAATTTATCGAATTATGTAGGCTCAACAAATTTTAATATGATGATCAATTCTTACTTAATTTTTTAAAAAATATTCATTAATAATTTAATTTAATAAATTATTCCTGTTCAAATATTAAATTAAATATTTATTTTTACTTAAAATATTATACTTCAAATAAAGAGTAATATTTAATTTTTATACGCAGATTTTTTAATATTATATTGAATTATAGTAAAAAAAAATAAAAAAATTTCTATAAGTATTATGTAATAAAAAAGTAATGATATTTGTATAATATATTAAATATTGTAAAAATATTTATTATATTAGGTGATTGTACAATTTTTTAACTTTGTTTTGATACGAACCAAAAAAAATGAAACCCTAAGGGAGTATAAAAATATAATGTATATTTTTATTAAATTCATCAAAAGATATTATCTTTATTTTATATTTTATAAAAATAGTACTATCTTCGTCATTCAATTGTGCGCTCATTTAATCGGAGATGAGTTTTAAGAAAAAATAAGTAAAAATAGAAACTTTTACTTTTTTAGTAAAGAAAAAGTAAAAAAAAATGATATTTTTAACGGGAATAAATTTGAATGACAACAAAATAAAAAAAAATGATAATAAATTTGAACAATAAAGAGAATAGTATTTTTCTTAAAAATTAAGCAAAATTGTCCATAACACCCTTGTGGTTTCTAAATTCAGCGTAAATCTCTCATCTACTTTAAAAATTGCATGACACCGTCTTGTATTTTAAAAAATGTTACATGAAATCACTCTGTGGTTTCGAAACTTAGCATAAATCCCCACTTTACTTTAAAAAATTGCATGACGCTCCCTTATACTTTAAAAAATATTGCATAAAATTCCCCTGTCATGCAAAACATATAGATATGAAATCATTTTTTAATTACATGAGGAAAGTTTCATGGTGGTGGGGTTTATATAACGTTTTTTAAAGTATAAGGGGGTACCATGCAATTTTAAAAGTATATGGAGATTTTACATTGAATTTAAAAACCACGTGGGAGATATAAGCAATTTTACCTAAAAATTATGAAAGTTCAACAAAAAAATTTTTTAAATTAAATTAAAGTTTATAGAATAAGAAAATAGAATTATATTTTCTATGCAAAACTTCTCGAATTTAATATTTATTTATATTTAATCAAATACTACAATTTTATTTAACTTTTTATTGTTCACAAACCAATCCAAAATTTCAGTACACTTCCGGAACGCACAGCCACACTAATTTCAATAAATTAATTCATTAGCAATAATTTCAATAAATTGTCATAATGGTATTTTAAATAATAATAATAATAATAATAATAATAATAATAATAATAATAATAACATAAATTAGTATTATTATTCTATTAGGCTCTGACTTGTTACTTGTGTTAGCATTTGAACATTTCGAAAATGCGACTTCAGGTTTAAGTTTAGAAAACGTTACAAGCAAAGTCGCTTCTTTCAAATTGTATAGTGCAGAATACGTCGCCGTTTTGTTTGCCGACATCTACAGGAAGGTGGACTAATTAATACTACAAATTTAATATTAAAGGAGTTTGGCAGTTGGATGTGGGTCAGCTGGACCGGACCGACCAACCCGGCGGTGTTGACCCTGACCCGCTCCGATTGACTCTAATATATATATTTTTTTCATTTGTTTTTTTAATTATAACATTATTTTATTAGTTGACCTGATATTTTTATTACATAATTGGCAGGGCATCGAAAGTCAAACCCCCAAGGATGAAATTTATTATTATTATTATTATTATTATGAAGGCTGCAAGTAGGGGATGCAAACTTGGAATAGGTATTTCTTTGTTGAGTAGTAAATATAGAAATGATGTCGGTGGTGACAGGTCAACGCAAAAAGCCTTTTCCACAATAATGATTTTATTTATTTATTTAATTAATTGTATAGATGCCATGTAAATATGTAATCAATTAATCCATTCGTCCATTAATAATCTATTTATTTTTTTTATTTTGGTTTATTCCATGATAAAATATCAATTTTCTTTCTTTTTGTAGTAATTGTATCATCTACCTAACATTACAAATATCTTTCCAATTTACAACATATTACACAAATGTCATCACATTATATCATGCAATACTAATGTGGTTAATTTAGTATTTTTATCTTTATTTCTACTTTATTCTAATATAATACTAATAATTCTAAAACTTCGTACAAAAAGCAAATGAATATATAAATATGGGACGGATGAAGTATATAAATAATCTAATGTCAGTTACCTTGTCGAACTAACGCACCGACTCATACGTTATAAAAAAAAATAAAATTATATAAAGTAGTCGATATTTAGTGTATGTAATTGTGGTATATAATTTGTCTAGTATTGCTTATTCAACTTGCTTGGATATTAGCTTGGGATTTGCTCAATGCTTATTCAAATAGAATAAGCTTGACTGAAAAAATGTCTACGGGATTTAAATAAAAATCATAAGTTCATTTATCACACCAATTCGATCATCTTTGTTTGAATTTAAATTTTTTTATTTGAATAATTATTTAATATAATATATATATATAGTAATTTTAATATTTTAGTTATAAAATAAATTTTTAATATAATATAAAAAATAAAAGTTAAATATTTGATTTAATATTTAAAAATTAATTAAATAGCAAAAAAATTTGAAAAAAAAAATATTTTAGAAAAACACAACCTAAGTAAAATGTCATTAAAAACCTTTTTAAACACCGAACTGTTCTAATCAATAATGTGAATTTAATAATTAAAAATTTCAACAGAATATTGTTAGGGTCTGTTTAAGTGATTTTTTAAAACATTTTTTTAAGTAAAATAATTATCTGATATAAATTTTAAATAAAAATAAAATTTAAGTAGTTTTTTTTATATATATATATTGAAATACTTAAATAATAATAATAATAATACATTTGATTTATATTTGATATTTTATAAAAAATAATAATAATGATAAATAAATTTTTAAGCAACAGTAAAAATTACTATAATAATAAAATACTTCTTCCGTCTCAAAAGAATTGTCGTTGTTTTTTCATTTTCGTCGGTACCAAAATAATTGTCTTGTTTCCTTATTTAGTAAGTGTGGTCTTCACTTTATAACAAAATTATTCCTATTTTTCCAAACTACACATAGTTATTACTCTAATCTAACTTTTTAAAATCTTTCAAAAAGTAAGGATATTCTAGTTTTTTACATTCTATTTTATACCTACCTTCAATTAAATACTATTATTTATTAATTCTCGTGTCAATATAAGACGTCTCCTTTTGCGACGACGAGAGTATTAAAAATAAACTTTAAGAAACAGCGTGTGCAATTCCATAAGCATTAAGCAATAAGATTTTTAGGGGCAAGGCCATAGCCATCCATTATCAAGCTTGCTTTTTATATTGATTAATTAATTAATTAATAATCAATAGTCAATATTGTAATAGAGTCATCAACGCCCACTATTAATATGATGGACAAGTGGCCCCCTTAAGGAAAGATAGAAATATTTTAATACAGCAAGATAATGCAAAATTATAGTCCCTTCGTTCCAGATACTATGTCTGCTACACTGTAGAGACGGTATTTTAGGAGGGGTGTAATTAGTAGATAATTAAGAATGTATTAGTAAAAATAATTATCCTATAATATAAATAATTATAAATTAAGATTAAGATAACTAATTAGTTTAATTAAAATTTTAAAAATTTAAAATGAGATTAAAGTGTGTAATCATTTTTCAAAAAAGGAAAGTGACATGGTATGTGGGACGGACAAAAACGGCAACGTGGACATGGTATCTAGGACGGAGGGAGTATATCAACAATGACGATGTTAAATTTTATTTTTTTTAAAAAAAAAAAAACTATCAAAGAAAGATTCTAACTTCAATCACTCAAGAATTTGGATACTATAGGAATGATTTAGGATGGTTTTGAATATTGCAATTCTTATAAATTACAACACCAGACACAATAATAGATAATTTACTAGAAGCCGTGGTTAATTATTTCGAAAACAATGACGAGAACACACACACAAGTAACAATCGGTTTAAAACTGGTGGGATTGGGTCAACTCAACACTAAGTATGATATTATCAGCTTTGAGCTGAGCCCGTACGAATTTGTTTTTGGATATTCTCCAAAAAGCCTCGTACTAGTGGAGTTCACTTGATACTTATAAGGTGTGTAATTTTTTTCACAACTTTCAACGTGAAACTTGAGTTTGCACCCCAACAAAAAACGATTGAAGATGAGAAATCGAGATAAATTCAAGCACATTCTAATCAAATGATAAATACAACACAACCAAAAATCACACAATCAAAATGATATAACTTTTTTATCTCAATTTATTCAAGAACAATTAAGATTAAAAGACAATAAATCCTCAAGAACATTAGCTTAACT